AAATAAGGACACAACGTTCTCTGTAGGAACCTTTTTCATGAGTTATAAAGGAGAAACCAAAGAAAAATTAGCAGTAACAGTAAATACGGACTGAATGGGTGAGAGCTGTTCTGCTTTCAATTGCTGTGCATTCCTTATGTTTAATACACAGAATGTTTGACACTAGAAATGTGAGATTTACTCAGGCTTTCTAAGAAAATTTCCTAAACCCATGTGGAAGTGATGAATTCCAAGAATTCGGCAATCCTACTTACCTTAAAAACCTCTTTCACAGAAGAGAGATGGTATTTTAAGTAAGGCTTTTAATTTGGCAGTGTATCAACTAGGATAAGAGATCTATCTCCTCAACTTCAGTGATGCAGGCTGCCTTAGGATAGGTCTTACACTGTTGTCAGTGCTAAAGATTTTATTTCTCAACTATCTCAAAATGTGTGCAGAGACATTACCAATAATACTAATAAGTTTGGAAGTCTTATGTGAAGTATTTCAGGATAGAGTTAAAGTAGCAGGATATGGCTTAGTGTGATCCCACTCTCATTTGTGTAGATGGAAGATTTAAGGTTGATTTCATTGGAAGTGGGGTCATATTTAATCCTACTGTATCACAGAATTGGCAAGTTTGAGTTATGGTCTTCTCAGAACTCTGACTCTTATGCCTGTCATGGCAGAGCAGAGGCAGCAATGCTTTTGTGATTTAGGGAGATCCTCAGTGGTCACACCAGGCAATAGAATGTGGTTGGTTTCTGAGCTGCTTCTGCAAAGTTCTACATTTGATCCAAGAGGCCAAATAAAGAATTGCTTTTCAAATAATGGAGTCAACAAAGAAGGCTTTTCCAGCAAAGACTAAATCATATACAAGAAAGCTAAGCTGATGATTGTGTAGAGATGGGTTTTAAAAATACTTTACTTTTGCCAGAATCCTAGGTTTTTATTTAAAACTAGAGGGATTCTTTATTTATATTTTCCAGTTACTTGAGCTAGATTGTTACTTCAGCCAATGTCAGAGTACTTGGACTTGGTAGTTAACTTTTTCTAGACTGTTAAAATATTACTCTAAAGTTTGTCATAGTGTTATTGATATTATTACTTACAATAACTGAAAATACAGACTCGTGAGCACGGTCTTTGCTCCTAAAACTTCTACTTTATTTTATTAACAATTATAAATTGTAGCAGGAAAAAAAAGTCATATTTTTGTGGACATGGTAGGAAAAGCTTTTCAATTTGTTCATTAATCTTCCTTCTTCCTCATCTTCATACACTCATTATCTTTGTCTCATTTCTTAACAGATAGTTGTGAGTACCCAGTCTCCATCTCCAGTTTTAACTAACTGTAATACAAAATCTCATATGATAAATAAGCCATTTATTATATTTATTTATTTATATATAAAATATCTCTCCCCACTCTTGCTTTTTGTTACATTTAAAAAACTCAAAGTCTTTATGGTATATTCCTTTAAGAAGCAGTATTTAGACTTTTGTGGCTTTTTTACATGTAATGATAGTTTGACTTATGATGACGATGTCCCTGATCATAACTCTATGCTGATTTTTCCTCCTGAACTTCTCAAAGGTGATATTTAATGTAGTATCAGAAGTACTATAGATCTGCCAACAGTGATAACATGTAGAGTGCTATATAATTATTGAATCATGGAGTTAAAACTTCTAGACTTTATACCCACAAAAAATCACTTGGCAGTGAGCCACCAAAAGTAATTTTTTCATTGCTTGTGTTTTGATTTTTTTGCTTTAGCTGCTGCCCAAAATGAAACAGCTTGGAGTTTAATTGTTCATTGTACTTAAATGTGTGAAGTACTATGGACCAGGGACCCCTGGTGGCCTAGTGGTTAGCATGCAGGACTCTCACTGCTGCAACCCAGGTTCGATTCCCCAGTCCCCCGGGCAGATGGAACCCGTTAGCCCTGTAAGGCCATCCATCTATGAGAAGGTCACTCTAAACAAACCTACATCCTGAGGACCTCACTGCCATTGTCCAAGCTTGCTTGGCCCCGGCAGATGAACCTTAGGATTAAAGGGTGGGCTCAGTTCAGCGCAGGCTGTGTCTCACCTAAAAAATCCATTGCGCAGGCTGGAAAGGTAAAAGGCCTTTCCCAAAATCTTCGTTCGCGAAGACTGGCCATTATACTATGGACTAAATCATACTGCCCTGTGCAAGATGTTTATAAATATGAATTATTTGGTAGCACGGATAATGGAATGATCTCCATTTTTGCTACCGATTTAGTACTTAAGAAGTAAAGCTCACCCAAGATCAACCAAAGTTTCATCATTTCCCAGACATTCTTTGGAGTATTCTCATGCTTACAAGTTCATTCATATTCTTATAAAATGAGATGCTTTCAGATGAGCTGCAAGCAAAGCATGTGAGCTGGTTCTCAGACACATGAAGTGCCATCTATGCACCTGTAGCTATGCTTATATTTGGTATTTCAGACACCCTTTTCTCTTTCCTCTGAGAGAATCAAGCATACTTGGATGACTGGAAAAACAGTGGGTATGATCAACACTTGCTTACTCGTGTGTTCAGTGTATATGCACTAACTGATGACATAGCCCTATGAGGTTGTCTTCCTTCATGAGTTTGTTTCTGGCTCAGTTTTTAGTTCAATTTTTCCTAATAATTCTATGATTTGCTGTCCAGCTGTTGTACCTTGCATGAGAGTTATTAGGCTGAAAGTAGCTGAGAAAGATAATGTCCAGAAACAGTTCTCAGAAATGATAGAAGTAAGTTCATTTTTCTTGCCAAATGAATTGGTACAACATCTATTCTTCAAGTCTTATTTTTCTTTTTTTTTTTTTTTTTTTTTGTTCTGGGCTATCCAGTTTTGCATTGGGTGTATAGTTGAGGTGGGAGTATTTGTCTGTGTAAGGTTACATGATCACAGCATTTTCTTTAGATATGGTCCACTTTTGTTGCTCTTCAGCTGATTAACACAGTATGATCTGTACAGACAGAGAAGAAATACAAACTGAACTTACTCATTTCAGCATTTTCCACATGTACAGGATCACTTATTTTAGCTTGTACAATATAGAGAAGATTTAGTGGTGTTTGATAAAAATCCGTGTGCTTTGTGATCTGTGATCATCTGCCATTTCTACATGCCTTATATCACAAGGTCAAGAGAAAGGAATTGTGTGATTTTCAGATTTTCTGAACCTGTCCTGAGGTGCTGGTGACACAGGATTGTTAAAACATGGGCTTTTCTCTTTTGACGCTTGGAGCAATATTCCAAATTATGTTTCCTTTGACCTGTTTTCCTGGAGGATGGGAGATCTAATTTTGCTTGCACAGATATTTTCAGTTTAGTACTGATGAATCAAGAATTCTTCATTAATTAGTATTGTTGATTTGGATTTCTTTTATGTATTTTAAATGACTGACCTGCCTATATGTGCTTGGAGCTGAAGGTCAATATATGCTGATCTAAATAATGGAATACTTCATTGTAGAGCTTCCCTGTCTTTCTTGTGCAATCCCTTTGAGTTTTGGAGTAGGATTTTGCTATACAAAGGACAACTGATTGTAATATGAACAAAGAAAAAATATCACATTAACTGTGGGATAAGATTTACTGCTACATGCATAGTTTTTAAAAAGGAGAAAAAAGAAAAAGATGTCAAAAGATCAAAATATGTGTAGCTTTGTTGATTTTTTTCTGCTCAGAAATGTATTTTCAAAGTATTAAAACTTTGTATTAAAAAGTCTGTAATCTTGTTTAAAAATAATGATGGTTTAAATGTTAATTGGACAAGCTAAAATATCTTGCTAGGTCATTTGCAAGTATCTAATAATTTCCTTCTCAGTAATGCTTTTGTAGCCTCAAATTGAATGTAATTATAAAAATAAAGAATCAATACACAGAAGAAATAACAATAGGTAACTTTTATTGTATTTACTATAACTGTTTTTAAGATGTGGTCTTCAAAATTAATTCAGATATTAAAAATGCTGAAAACAATATGACCAAATAATGGTGCACATAATTTCTTTAAAGCTGCTGCGTATAGAACATGACAATACTGTCTTCAAGGTTGTTAGAAATAGTAACTGTTATGCTTGCAACTTGTGTTTCTGTTACACCCATATGGCAAAATTATGCCTCCCAGAGGTAACTTTTGGTATTGGAGAAAGTTACTGTGGAGAACAGCCTAAAAGCCTCCTGTATTGATGGATCCTCAAGAGAAAATAAAAATCTTACGGAAGATGCAGATGATCAGAGAATTCTTGTTTGCTGGTATTTCACATTCACTTTGCACAGATAAAAATTTCTGTACTCCCCAGCATCTTCTGCATCGATTTTACTGTCTTTGTGACCGCGGAAGAAAAGGATCAGGGCTATGCAGTAATGGAACCAGTCACACATTTAGTAGTAATTTACAGAATATAGCAAAGTTTTGCTTCATTTATTGTCACAAAGTTGTTGGCTTCATACTATTTTTAGAAATAGAGAGCTCTAATATGGAAAAACATAAAGGTTGAGTTGTCTATAAACCATCAAGCTTTTCAGTTTCTGTTATGTTTTAAAAATTTAATTAAATAGAAATTAAATATGACTGGTTTGTTCCAACAACACTGCCTGTTTCATTGGGACAATGTTTATAACTTCCATTGTAATTGTAAAATGCTCGCTTAGGTTTCTGTTCTCATCTGTATGTGTATAGTAGTGTTGTAACCTCGCACACAGATAAAGGAAAAATTTTTTTTCAGAGAAGAAAAAAGTAAAAATTCTGTAAATTTTATTATAGAACATTTATAAGATGATTTCCATGACAACCATATAATAATATTCATGTTTACTTTATTTCCGAGTTCTCAATGTCTTCTTAATGACTCCCATGTAATTAAAACAGAGTGCATAATTTGACGTAACATAATATAAATCAGTTTTGTTTGCGTGATGTTGAATACTGTTAATAAATGTACAATGAACTGTTTAAGAGCCTTACATGGATGTGTCCATTTGTTGCAGAACTGTGAGAAACTGGAAAATAATTTTGATGACATCAAGCACACGACTCTTAGTGAGCGAGGAGCACTTCGAGAAGCAATGAGGTAAGTCTGGGTCACCATAGCAACAGTCACAGATGTGGTAAAGAAAGAGTCATTCTTCATTATTGGGGGAACAAATGAGTTCATTGCCACCATTCAGCTCTATTCTCTAAGGTATTAATTTGTCAGTGGAGAGGCTTCCCTTGAGGCTGTACTTTGGTTTTGAAGCTGCATAAATGTTAAGCCTGACTGCACAGTAAAAAATGTAAATGTTTAATTTGTTATTTAAAATGCTTAAGGGGTGCCTTGCTTTATATTTATACTAAATTGTGAGTGAATGAAAATATTGTTCATCTAAATTCTGTAAGTGTTAAAGCAGTTGTACAATGGTGTTTGAACAAACCTGTGTTTGCTTTAAATTGGATTTGATTTTTATGTATGTGGTTCCTGTGTACTCTGATTTTATCATCAGATTTACATGATTTTGGTTTTGATAATAGAATGTTAAAATCTGTCTAGTCCTTTATATATTGTAGAGATGTATTTTTCTCTTAATATCCTCATATAGTTGCACTTAATACTTATTAGAGGAGGTTAAAATTAGTTAGTGCATGAATCTTCGACCATCCTTACCTGCACTGTAGAATATCTGGGTACAGGACTCCAAAGAAACTTGCCAGCTATAGTGTCTAGAAAAGGGAATGCTTACTATGCTGAAAGGTGGTGGAATTGAATACAGATTTTCTAAAGTAACTCACTGAATAATCAGGAAGATGTTATTTATAGTAATATCTGTGAATCAGAAAATTATAGTAACCTGTACTTTTAAAGGTTTTGAAATTGGATAATAAAATGTAATGATGCAAACATAGTGCTTCATTTCACTTGCCTGATATCAGAGTAAATTCTTACACTTGCACTAGTGCAGTAAAAAGTAAAAACAACAGCAAAACCCCCTGAGAATCTTCTTGGAAAACTAAATACGCCTATATGCTTTGACTGTGTTTCATAATCCCTTTAAATGTATAGACATGTGTGAATGATTTGATTTTCATGACTGATTTATGTTCATGATGCTCTTGTCTCACGTACATGAGTGGTTTGTAAAGGTATTCTGACTTGAAATGCAACCTACCTCTTTTGAAGCTGCTCTCATTACCTACAAATGAACATTTCAACTACCAGTGTTGCAAATAACTGTAAAAATAGTGGTATTCACTAGTGGTATTCACCTTTCTAATTGTGATTTTTGCTTTATGCTTGCTTTGTTTCATATGTTTAGGGTTTTCTCCCTATGTGGTCAGTCACTTGTGTATATAAATCTTTTGTGTAGTGTCAGTAAATGGAAAGTGATTTAAAATAAAGATTTGCGGAACTTTTGGCATGGAAATACTTTTAGTATTTCCAACAAATCAGATTCCAACAAAGGTTACTACTGTCCTGGAGCAGCATTCAGGTTTGTGACGTTTTGCAATACATGACTCAGCAGAGATAATATTTTAAAAACTTAGGAGCTGACAGCTCTTTGATGATCAACACTGAATAGCAGAGGGAGCTTTGGTATTTCAAAGGTCATGTTTCTGTTACAAAGACCGTGTAGAAAATTCCTGTGACTCTTTGCTGCTCATACAATAAAAAGCACTTTACTATCTAATAAATTTGTATCCTGGCTCTTTCTGGTAGTGTGCAAGCCATTCTGAGAGACAGTTATTGATTGTGAAGTGTGAGAGATACTGTGCAGTGCTGGAATTCTCTTAATTGCAGTCAATATTATATGATTGGTTGTTTTCTTAGTTTTTGGGGGTTTTTTTGATAAAGAAAATACCTGACTTACTAAATTAATACTGTTATAAAGTGTGGCTTTATAATGTGCTAGAGCACCACATGAAAGGTGGTAAAAATGTTAATTTAGAGAGGTCTATGCATGTAGGTGTGCGTATTTTTCTAAATGTGTGTAAAAGACAATTTTTGCTTCAGGCTGTACAGTTCTTTCAACTGCTACATTTACTGTGTGGCTGCATTTTTCTGCTTGGATCCCAAGATTATCTGTAGCATATGTAATTCAAATGGTACATTTTTATAGATTAAAGTTCACTTTGTTTTCCCATGATGACAGCGGACATTGGCCCAGGCATGGGAGGACATAGATCTACTGACCTCACTATGAGGTACCTGCCTCCTTTTGGTAAGGGACACATGTGGAGAGGGTTGCACATTGCGCAAAAACACTAAAATCACGTGGGCATGAAAACAACCACAATGGAAAATCCTAGTTGGATAGCTAAGTGGATATATGTGGATCTCAGATGAGCCTTAAGTTGAGTGGGCAGTCTGCCCAAATTCTCTCTGATTTCCCAGAGTGGTACTACTGGTCTGCCAGATGAGAAATACAATGAACATTTTTCCCCAGTGCTCCTGTTTGGAACGAGACCTTCCATTTTAACTTCATCTTTGAGAAAAATGGTCAATTTAATATGGATTTCAGTACACTTCTAGGCTAAGAGTATCACTGTGCTCTGCATAAACAAATACTAATATCCAAGAAAGGTCTTGTTCTCTTTCCAGCTCTTCAGTATTCAAATTAAGGGTTACATGAAAATTATCTTTCTTGTTTATGTATATAGATGTATGCAAAATAAACTTTCTGAAGGGTTTTGAAATGATCATATAAAGCCTATGAACTTTCTCTAGTTCTACTTTACATGTTATTTTAGATTTTGAATGAGATAATGAACTGATAGTAGTTTGCCATTATTCGGTTTATAGAGTGATATGGTAAGAATTTTATTGTGATTGCACATAAAATCATAAATGCATTCAATTCAGTTAATGTTTTGCTTATTTTGTTAATGTACTCTAAATGTTTTATTTATTACTATATTTTAATGCAACTGCAAAGCTGAAGTAAACAGTAAAGATACATTAATTTTTTGAATTAGGGTTTATAAATGGACAGGCTATTGCTTTACATACCTTGAATGTGTATATGATAAATTATTTGGGTATTTTTTGTAGTAACTTGGCAGAAAAATAGCATAGCAATATACCTATAATGTTAAGTTGCGTAAGTAAGAGCATTGAGCTGTTGTTAAACAAGGCTCAATTTGTTTTTAATATATAATCACTGTGAAAAATCTGTATTCCAATCCTCAGTAAAGCTTCATCTAGAAATTTAAAGGAGCTTTTAGACTGGTTTGTCTGCTACGAGGAGATAAGTGTTTGAGGAGGAGGAAGTGGTGTAGCTGACTGTATGCTGACACTGGTAGTCTTTTCATAGGTGGCAAAACCAGAACATGGACTGCTGCAGTAACCATTCCTCTGGATAAGTAGGGTAAAGTAGCCTTGAGGAACCTTAAAATCAAAGAAACAACAACAAAAAAATTACCACCACACCCCATGTTATAAAGTAACTTCTAGTAGAAGTGTGGCAGAAATCCAAACCCAATTGTTAATATCAAATTAGATGAAGGTAAGGTTTAACAAGTTAATAGATTTAAAAAGGTGAAGGAAAAATTTTAGTAAGCAACAGACAGGCAGGAAATTTTATTTTCTACTGAATCTCTTCACTCTGTGTACGGGCATCCATTGTTGTTGGCAAGAGAGAGAATCAGACTTGATGGAAGTGGGAGGGGACTGTTGGAGATGATCTAGACCAGTGGTCTCCACATTTTTTTGATTGTGTAGCAGCAAAATATTTTTGAGCATACACCCCCAATATGTGTATGTTGTACATGTACCACTGTACTAATATTTTATGTGCATTATGAAACACACTCAGGAATAGAAATGCAAAAGCAAAAGATGAGATAAAGATGAAATAAAGACTATCTAATGTTTTTTTAAAATATTTGTTAATTGTACAGAAAATATTTTCTTACCACATTGACATGGATTGCCTTGCGCACGCTCTGCTTTGGAGATCATTTATCTGGACCATCTTTCCTGCTCAGAGCAGGGTCAAGTAGAGCAGGTTGTTCAGGGCTGCATCCAAACAGGTTTTTATATCTCCAAGGATGGACGCTTCACAGGCTCTCTAGCCAAACATCTTTGCAGTAAACAACAGAAAAACTCAAAAAACCCCAACAGCAACAACACCCTCCCTTTTTTTGTTTTAGGTTGTGCCTGTTGTTTCCTGCCCTTTCACTGTGCACCACTAAGAAGAGTTTAACTCTGTTTTTTCTTTTCCCTCCCATCAGGTACTTACACATTTTGATAAGATTCCTCCCTGACTCTTCCCTGCTCGAGGCTAAATGTCCCCAGCTCTCTCAGCCTCTCCTTATGTGACAGAATTCCAATCCTATAATCACCTCAGTGACCATTTGCTGAACTCGCTTCTCTATTCCGATGTTTCCCTAGTCCTGGGGAATCCAGCACAGGACACAGCACTCCAGGTCTGTCTCACCAGTACTGGGCAGCAGAGAAGGATCTTCCCCCCCTTAACCTACAGGTAGTGCTCTACCTGACATGGCCCAGGGTGCTGCTGGCCTTTCCTGTTCAGTTTGTCTTCCAGGACCCCAGGGCATTTTCTTTGAAGCTGCTTTCCAGCTGTTTGGCTGCAGCCTGGATGTTGCTCTGCAGGGGCAGGATTTCACTTGTCTTTTTTTTGTTTTTTTTTCTTCCCTTGTAGTGTCTGTAGGCCCATTCCTCCAACCTGTCAAGGTCCCTCTGAACAGCAGCACAACCTTTCAGAGCGTCACCACTCTAGAAGATGATAGATTGCTTTTGAACACTATAGTAGTAATATGTTTTAGATCTGTGTCCAGTGTACATTTTATGAACCTGGTGACAAATGAAGCCATAGTGTTTCAAACAGAAACATCTTATGAATCTAGCATTGCAGTTGTTAACTTATCACTGAGTTGGTAAGGCACCAAGGTGGCTCATGACAGTGAGCAGTGAGACTGGTGAGATATTAATATGTAAATGGGTCCTACTTGTAGGTGGATATGTATACAGTCTACTTGTGAACATTGACTGAGTTAGTAGGTGTGAAAGCTTTGGAAGTGAAAATTAAAGCTGAATATTTTTGTACAGTCTTATTAAAGGAAAATATAAACATATTTATTCATACTTTGAAATGGGAAAGAGAAAGTTT